CACAACTAAGGGCTCATCAGGGAAGGAAAATATGAAATTGTTCCACTGGTGTTACTCTGCTGGAATGCCACATTTTAATCACTGGCTGGAGTATACTGAGCTGAGTGACACAAGGGAGAGAAATGCTTAACAGAGGATGAAAATAATACAGATTCAGTACAAATGCTTGATCCAGGCACACCCAATCTACCTCCTGCTTCAGCCTGAAACAGGGCTTCATGATTTAAACAGGTTTCTCAACCTGGTGCCTGCAGAGGCCCCAGCTTGGGAGGTGGTGCCAGACAGCAGCCGTGTGGGTCTGGTAAAATTCGGCACAGGAAACAAAATGGTCAAATATTAGAGATGTTTAAATTTCAGAGGAACTCATTTGTAAACTACAGTGACGCCACTCGCCATTTATTTTTTTTCATCAACCACCTACAACCCCCAAAAAGGGCTGCAACAGCCTGATGGCACAAGCAGAGGGTCACAGAAACACAGTTCCCAAAGGGGTTCACTAAGTCAGAGCTCTGCCTCCTGCCATTCCAGGCATCAAATTCCCTAGTTCATTTAAAAACAGAAGTACAACAACAAAACAGATTCTCATTCTAGGATTTTTATCTTGATTACTCCTGGAAGACGGTCTCACAATCCTGTTCTTCTCTGATTAAAACCTTTCTGTAGTTTTCAGCCTGTGTTTTCTCATAGGAAATTCAAACCCAATTATATTTCACTCTGAATATCTTATCTCCTTTTCTAATGTTTGTCCCACATCTGACACATTTGAGTTCCACACCTGTTCAGTATTCCTGGCAAAAAAACCTTCTCAAGCTTTAAGAAACAGTATGAATTTCTGATCTCTACCATAAAAAATACTTTACCTGATACATTCTAGTCTTGCACTTACCTTTCCTTCCTCCATCAAAGCGGCTGCTCACCAGCTCCCTATTTCAATTAGTACATTCTGAGATATTGCAATTTACTCTTGGGCTCCTATTCTTGTTTCTAATCCCCAAAATCATAATTTCTGTGTTAGTAGCCAAACTCTGTGTGCTATAACTGTCTTATAACACGTTGGTTCATGAGACATATAGTTTGCATACTGGCCCTGTAAATCATTCAGAGGAGGTCTATTAAACTGCAAGAGAAGACCTTTAAGAATGGTAGTAGAAGTTGAATAAACGAGGACACATGTCTGGACTGAAGAAGTCACAAAGCAACAGACTGGGGTATTGTAATAATCCCACTGAAAAGGCCCAATGGATGTACCAGAAGACTTTAAAATAGGACTTGAAAAAAGTGTGTCCACCAACACCTGTTACAGAGGAAAAGCCTCTATGAGTGAGCCAGGAGATTTCATTACATAAATTTCAAGGAACATCACAATAAATTCACTTTTAAAAAGGCTACTCCCCACAATGATGAAGAAAAATCAGCACTGAAAGGTAAGCTGCCCAAAAAACAAAACCACATCATCTCCTACCACAGTCTGCAGCAGACAGCACTCACATCTCTTCTCTTGCTAGGAAGTGTATCAGGTATCACCACAAACTGTCAAGGCTTTTACCCATTTCCCTACTATTCAGATTCAACTCACCTGAAGGCTCCAGCCAGTGCTGCTTACCAATGAAAACCAGAAACAAGGACTAATGATTGCTGTTGAGGAGAAAGCAATTACACATGATTTTAAAAAGAGCCACAGCTCTTACACTCACCCCCTTCCACACTGCTCTGGGCAATTAACAATCTTAGGATGCTAAATAAATAAGAACGATAAGAATTCCATGATAAGAATCATGGAAGTTATAAATTACACCTTAGCACCTGCTGTGTCCACCTGCAACACCATCCTTAGTTTACAGTAGCTTGATCAACATACTGTTTTACTAAAAATGTCAAACTGATTAAATGATTATGATGATTTAAATGGTCACATTTAAAACCCCCTTAATCTCGAAGCAGTATGTGTGAGGAAATTTGAAGACAAATCCAGAGCAAGATGATTATTTTCTCATCATCTGTGGTAGAGGTATAGAGTTAATTGTTCATGCTCAGGGCTAGATTAAGCCATCCTTACATTCAAATGGTTTGCTTTTTTCTTCCTGATGAAAGTTTACTCTTTAGAGAACCTGACCCTTAAGGAAGCAAATTATTTCTTCCCCCACACAGATTCTCCAGGCTGCTTAGCAAAGCATGCAAAGGCAACATTCCTCCCGTGCCTGTAATGGATGAAACAGTGACCAGTAACAGCCTAAGTGAGTGATGAAGTAGGAAAGATATTTAAAGAGAGCAGAATCAGAAAGTGATAGGAAAAAAATCTGGATGTGGAAAATAAGATTTCATGAAGGATGTTAAATTTACAGGACCAAGTATTCTGTTGTCCAATTGCTTCTCAAGCAGGTGCCTTTAGGAATCAAGTTTAGCAAAATATTTTTATTGTATGCAGGATCCAAGAAAAGGATACATTCAGGCTTGTAATGAACATGAAAACCCTAATGAAGCTGCTACCTTGTCAATCAGGTGTAGGCTGAGACAGCCAAAAATAACAGGAAGAGTTCCAATAGAGCAAAGAACATGCATCTCCTACATCAACTCTTGATGTAAAGATGTCAAAAACATTCCTGTGTGTGCAGAGTGGGCGAACGGCAAACAGAAACTTGAACAGGCTTCCTTTGCTCTTGTGAACTTCTGAACAACCAGGAAAGAGTAAGACTGGCAGAGTCAGCTGCTTGCTACTGGGAATGAAGACAGTCAGTCTTACCTGGCCCCGAAAACACCAGCACCCAAAAGGGATAAAACAACAGTGCAAACTACGTTCCCTTAGTCCTTACAGGCTTTGCACATACGTGCTCTCACGCTACTACTGAATGCAGTTCTGCAAGTCTAATCTATTGACATTTAATCTTTACATTATCAAGCTTCATTAACCAAGGTGCAACACAACAAAAAAGGCCCGAAACTGCAGGCACAGTGAGCAGCAGTGCTGTGCCAGTGGGACTCCCTCAGTCAAACCCTAGACAAAGGCAGCCAGTCATGAGATGTTATGCTTTGGAGTGCTTTAATGCACACCTCAGAATTTGTCATCAGCAGTTCAGCTACCCTTTGACACATTTCTTACTGTGCATTTATAATCCTGGCTTTACTCCCTGTCACTTGCACTGCTCACATGCAAGCTGTCTATACTGTGCCACGTTACCTCACTTTCACTGAGCATACTCGCTCTTCTGTCTGTGGGCAATTAACTCAATTTTGCGACAACTAAGTTTCAGCAACCAGTTTGAACTTCTCATCAGACTTTTGGCACGGGTTGCAAAAAGCCTGCCAGCAAACTATGGCCACAAGCAGCAGTTGTTTTCACCAGGGAAACTCATTCTTCAGCGAGATCCCTCTGCTGCTACAGCGCAAGCACAGCCAACACACAGCAGCTACCTCTGCTGTGGAGTTCTCTCACCCCTGTCACACAGGAGAGGGCATACCCTATAAAAGGTGTACCAGTGGTATGCATTTACTAGAGGAATGACTCCAAAATACACAGTGCAGCAATCTGTTCAAGAACTCAGTATAGACTTCTTTCAAATAAGAGACCACTTTGTCCTCTCTGCCCAGACAAGCAAGACACGGAACAAAAAGGGCAGAAGCAGCTGCTGCTGTTCATACACGGCATCTGACTTAAGAAAACTTGTGTGGTTTTCAGTGCTACCTCACATCTTCTCTAAGCCTTTTTTCTGAAAAAGAACCAGAAGATCAACACTGCCGCCTGTGAAGACACAGTCTGCTTTCTGACTCGCACACAATCTACTTGTTGTCTCCCAGGCCCCCTAAGCAAACTGGTCTGGATTGCCAAAAAGAGGGACACCCAGACAGGCAACAGAACTGTAAGGTCAGGGTGCCACTTTGCAGTGCAGGGGTATTTCCTTACTGCTTGCACATGTTCAAAAAATAGTGCCAAACCGCGTTGTGCCAGAGCACGGTTCTCGTGACAGAAACATTCGGTTCAGTTGAACTGATTTCCTTGATTGTGACTTTCGTTTTATATATTCTCTTTGCCCTTGAAATCATTCCAGTCTGTGCATTAATCCCTTGCAGGGCCTCTCTCGTTGTGCCACCTACACACCCATATTTTCCAGGAAATTTTCACCTTGTCTCAACTGGAGTCTTTCTCTTGGGAGTACACAGCCTGTTACGCTGCAGTTGATTACCTTCAAAAAGAGCCTGAAGACAAAAAGACACCTCACGACTTAAGCAGCTCACTGATGTTCTGTTGCAACATTTATATAAAGAGTCATTTTGGCTAAGATGGCCTAAACAGACAGGGAACAAATCAGGGAGATTAAGTGTATGACAACAACAAAAACAAAATTCCATCCAGGATCACAGCAAGAGCTCGGAGCAGCATTTCTGCCTTACATGGGAGTGTTTTAATTGTGCAGCTGGAAATTAGAATTCTATAAACTGGTGGTTTTATTCGAACAGCAGCCCTTTATCACATTTGGGCACTGTTTATCAAAGAGCTTACCATATGACCAGGCCAGCAAAAGCACAGGAAAAGCAGAAAACTGAAGCACAGCACGAGTCACTGGCCTGACAACACTGCCTGTGGCAGGGCCAAGAACTGAACTTCCCTGGGCATCCTCACATTGCCCAGGCTGAGACAGCGATGGATGTCTGTGCAGAACTACTTCCCCAGCACTATGTGGACAACAGCTCTCACACATGGTGAGAGAAAAAAAATGGTGTAAACAAATACAACCTTTTAATTACCCTGCCAGAAAGCTAACACCGACTAAGAAGCAGCCAGTGCCCAGGCTGGATCTGCTCCAGCCTTCCTAGCTGTCAATTCCAGCCATTCGGAGTCTTTGTTTGAGTTCCCCCATGAGGTGACCTTTCAAAATTCAGCTCTTCTGAAGATCAGGAAATTTGGTTACATACAGTATCATCACATGGGATGCTCTTAAAACACAACAAAAAAAATGATTATAAACAAATAACTCCCAGTCAAGTTCAATAACAGACAGTAATACCTTAATTTTCTGGTGAATGTGCCTCAGGGAATCTGCTGTACCCATGTCCATGTTGTCACTGATGCACACAAAATCGAGCTTCATTTTTGTGTCCAAGTTTAACATCTTTTGGATTTCCTTCCTTGTGATCACAATGACCTCTAGGACAGAGGAAAGTGAGATGAGACCAAGCAGAAAAAAACCTAAATAACATGATCACAAACAGGACAGACTATTTTATTTAGAGAGGCTGATGGAACTGTCAAAACACTTGAGTAACACGACTGGGTTGTACAACGAACCGAGCTCTTTTGGCCGCAGCAACTTTTGAAGAAGAAAATTAAAAGTCCTAATGGACGTGAAAACAATCCCTCCTGCTTTGTGTGGGTGGAGGAGGTTACTGAAAGTGACACACGCATGTGTGGCACGAACTGTTAGCAAGACAGAACAGAAACTTCTTCTATCATTAACGAGCAACCTCAAACCATCTGTCCTCAAACAGACCAAGGAGACCCTGTGTTAGTGTCACCAACACTTCGGGGCTTTGTCTTTTGCCGCCCTGATCCTGTGTAATCCTCTGTGGACAACCCCACCAACCACAGCATTACAATACAATGGTTAAGCTATTTCGCAGCATCAGCTTGGCAAGGGACGGGAGTAATATGTGAGCAACAAGCTCATTCCATCTACAAAAGAAAAGGGATAAATGCATATTTGAAGGAAATCAGCAGTGGCATGAAAGCATATTTTCCAAAATGAAGAATGTGAGAACAGAAGCTCTGCAAAGAAAGGACTGAGAAAACAAAACGGCACGAAACCTTTTCCACCAGCCTCAAGAACGGGAAGGAAAAGCAACAGTCACACCCCTCCAATTAAAATATCCCACCTCCCAAAAAACTCCAACACCATAACATGGAATTTTAAAGAGCAGTATGGTAAATAATACAGCCCTCAGCCTAGGAGGTTCCTGTGGCAAGATGAAAACACATTAAAAATAAATCTTAATGTATTAATGTATCAATCCAAACTGAACTCTCATCCTGAATCTATTAACAGAAAAGAGAATGGAACTGTAACCATGAAAACTGTGGGGGAATTTGGTGCCAGAGATGTGGGAGGGCTGCTCTCCCACTCCCATATTGGATGCCAACTTGGATTCAAAACAGGCTGAAGAACTTAGAGAAAGGGATTGGAAGCACACCTTGAATTAGGTGAAGGATTAACTGATGAAGAGGGAACTGGTGTCAGGTGGAAGTTTTAAGCTCACACTGTTCAGCATTAATCTGGTGAGGTGGGCAATGGTCTCCTCGACATTAGAAGAGATGAAGCACTTCCAGTTAGGGCAAAAGGGATGCAGTGAATCCGCCCATGGAACATCTACTTATTAATATAATATGAGAAACTAAAGCCTTGTGTAATACTTAATAAACATTATGATCCAGGGAGAGAATTCATGCCACTGGATTATTAATGCAGAAATGTACAGCTTGGCCAGGGGGCAGGAGCAAGGGAGGAGCAGGAAGGTGGCAGCCTCCTTACTGAAGCTGAATACATTTACTGAGTACAGCCCTGCACATCCACACGTTCACAGGGCAGGGATAAACTGAAGAGCTGCCTGAGAGAAAGGAGAAAGGTCTGACTGCAGCACAGAGTCACAGAATGAGTCAGGTTGGAAGGTCCCACCTCCTTGCTCCAGCAGGGTCATCCCAGAGCACATGGCATGGGATTGTGTCCAGACAGTTCTTGAATATCTCCAGTGAGGGAGACTCCACAACCTTTCTGGGCAACCTGTTCCAGTGCACGGTCACTGCACAGTAAAGAAGTTCTTCCTCATGTTCAGGTGAACTCCCTGTGTTTCAGTTTCTGCCTGGTGCCTCCTGTCCCACTGCTTGGCACCACTGAGCAAAGCCTGGTCCCTCCTCTTGTCCCTTCAGACACTGATGAGGTCCCCCCTCAAGGCTGAACAGGCCCAGCTCTCTCAGCCTTTCCTCATAAGAGAGGTGCTCCAGTCCCTAAATCATCTTTGTTGCTCTCTGCTGGACCCTCTCCAGGAGCTCCGTGTCTCTCTTGTCCTGAGGAGCCCAGAACTGGACACAGCACTCCAGGTGGAGCCTCACTAGGGCTGAGTAGAACAGAGGGGCAGCTTCCAGTGGACAAGAGCTTCAAGTGGAAATGGTTATTTGTGAGCAAAGAGCCACACAAAACACAGTGCTGATTACACAGAAGCTTTTAGCTCCCTAAATCCCCACGGTGCAGGACAAAAGTACGATCCTATCAAAAAAGAAGGAGACAGGAGGACAGGCAAGGAAAGCTGATGTTCAGTGTGCAGATTTCAACAGGCAACAAGCAAAAAGCAAATGCCAAGGACAAAAGTTCTTAAGGAAACAAAATAAAAGCAGAGCCTTAAGTCTGCTTTTTGTTTTGTTCCCTCACACTGAAACAGTAAGAGGCCAACATGGACAATCATGAGCTGATATTTCCATCTTCACAGAAAACAGAAACGATCAGGACCAAAGCCACAGCCTGGGGTGAAGTAGAGAATGATCACACAGTCAAAGCAGAGGAGCAGAAATAAACAAGACAAACACAAAGGTGAAAACACAGAAGCATGAAAAGGTGTCAGGAAGAAGCTTTATAAGAAGCTGGGGGTGGGCACCACAGAAAGATTTAGCCCACCACTGAAAAGGTAAACAAGCACATAAACCCAGAAACACCACAGGGTCTCACCAGGTACTAAATATTCCCTCAGTGCCCCCTGTGGGACGAGGCCCCAGGGTGAGCAACACAAGTGTGCCCCTTCCCCCTGCCCTGCCCTGGCAAACCCTCTGTGCTGCCGCACGGGCTGCACGCCTCGCACACCGCAAGTAACCCTGAACTTCGGGCCAGGCTGAAACAACAAACCGGGAGCCATCCCCGGGGGGCTGACACGCTGCTCACACCGCTGGCAGTAACACTGAGAGGGAAACGTGAGAGACTCGCGGTTGGCAAAAGACACCAGAGCTGGGGATCAGAGACACCAGAGCTGGGGATCAGAGACACATTACGGCCAGAAAAAAACCTCCAAGATCATCAACCCAGCACCACCACCGTGTTCACCGGGAAACCACGTGCCGTATCCACATGGTGAGCCCTGGGCAGCCCGTTCAGACGCTTCACAACCTTTCCCCTGAAAAAAAAAAAATTCCATAATATCCAACCTAAACGTCCCCCGGCGCAACCTGAGGCCGCCTCCTCTCATCCTGTCACTTATTAGCCAGGAGAAGAGAGCGGCGCCCACCTCACCTCCAGGCGGTGCCCGGCCCTCGGTGGGGCAGACGAGGGGGAAAGGGGCGCTGGCACAGAGGGCAGGAAGGGCCGTGACAAGGGCCAGGAGCTCCAGCGCAGAGGAGGGATCTGCCACAGCCCCTTCCCGACCGGCAGGGCACCTGCCACCCGGCACCGCGGCAGCGGGGCCCCCGCCGTGCCTCACCTTCGAAGCCGGCGCGCTCCAGGAGGTTCAGCGGGTACCAGAGCAGGGGCCGGTTCCCCACCGGGAGCAGCGGCTTCGGGATGCTGGAGGTGAGGTCCGTCATGCGGGAGCCGCCCCCCGCCGCCATCACCACGGCCTGGAACTCCATGGTGCTGTGGAAGGGCACAGAGGCGGGGCAGGAGAGGACAGGGACAGGGACAGGGACAGGGACGGGTCCGGTCGGTGCCGCCGCCGCTCCCGGCACTGACAGCGCAGCAATGGCGGCCGCGCCGCGCTGCGCCTGCGCGAGGACGGCCGAGGGCGTCGATCAGGGGCGAGCGCCGAGAGCATCGATCCGCCTCCTCCTCGCTCGGCATCGGGGCAAGGGGGGGGGGGAGCCACCCGGCCAGGGCGGCGAGACGAGCGCCGAGGGAAAGATCCCGCGCTTGCGGAGCGCCGAGTCATGGATCCGCGGTGGTGGTGGGGGTGGGGGCGCTCGGCTGGACGGCGCCCCCTGGCGGCCGGAGCGGGGCGTGCAGGGGGGGGTTTGGTGGTGTGTGGGGGCACTGGGGGACATTTGGGGTCTATATGGGGACACTGGGGGTGTTTGGGGCTGCGTGGTGCACTCGGGGCTGTCTGGGGGGCGCTGGGCGGTCGGTTCGCTGCTGTGCTCCCCATGCACATCGTGTGCAGGGCGGGGACAGGACCCACAGCCCCCTACCCAGGCAGGCCACTCTCCCCACCCCACAGGACCCTCTTCCCGCCCAGCGGGGCAGTGCCATGCTGGCCCCTCCAGCTGCTACAAGCCACAGGCTCCAGGCCCAGCCCTGGAGGAGCACAGACACGAACAGGACCCGTGCCAGGACAGCAGGAGCTGGCCCTGCAGTTTTATTGAATCCCGTGTCCCCGAGGGGGGCAGCTCCCGCAGCCTGGGGCGTGTGGGGGCCTCATTCATCCCAGGGGTTCTTGTCGGTGTCGATGGACATGCAGTTGTACACGGCGTAGCGCAGCAGCTCCTCGCACACCTTGGCCCTGGCAGGGCAGAACACTGGGTCACGGCACGGAGAACCTCAGGCTTCCCTCCCCACACCTGCCCAGGCATCCCCCAGGGCAGGGTCTGGGAGAAGGGAACCCCAATGCCAGCCCCAGGGAGAGGGGAGAGTGCCTGTCCCCAGCTCGACTCACGAGGAATAGTTGGGCAAGTAGAAGGTGCAGGAGCACGTGGAGGCCTGGGGCATCAGGTCCAACGCATCCAAGCTTGGGAGAAAAAAAGAGAGTCAGACTCGGGCATGGCGCAGGGACCTCACACCGTGTGGGGACCCCAGCAGGGCACAGGGACCCCAGCAGGGCAGGACAGACTCACTTCGACCTTTCTGGGTAGACAGTGATCTGAACGGGGAGGCGGCTCCGGCCGGTGACGAACTTGAGGAAGCGGCTGAGATCCTCTGAGGGGAAGGACAGGGATCAGGCTCAGGGACAGGAACAGGACTGTCCCAGTTGCTCCTGTCGCAGCAGGTCCTGCCCTTGCAGAATCACCCCAGGAACAAGGGGCAAAGCTAAGGGATGTTCTCAGCATCCCAGGAAGGGCCAGGTGGGATAACCTCAGCCAGCTCCCACGGAAGCAGCTGGTGAGCATCCCTGGTGCACAAGGCAGTGGGTACCCTAAACCCTCACCCAAACCACAGCACATGAAGAGCAGGGAAAGGCTTGGGGCCACTCACCACTGGTGAAGTTGTTGAGTGCTTCCAGGAAGTACTGGACACGGGTGTCATCAGAGGAAAAGTCATCAAACTTGACTGTGACAAAGAATGTGCAACGGCTTCATTAGAAACTACCAGCAAAGCAAAGGAGAGGAGGAGACCCTCTGCTCCCCAGTGAGCCCCTGAGAGCCCCTGGCATCCCTGAGTGGGGCCAGCACCCAGTGCCGTGGTGTTTGGAGAAACAGAGGTTCCAGTTTGCAGGGTGGCCATTTGCCTCTGCCCATAGCAGCCGAGGACCAGATGGATGAGAGTGGAGACCAGTGGGGTTTGCAGCTAAACCTGAAGCATCCCCATCCAGGGTTCCTCCAGCTTATCCTGCCCCAGGCCCCTCAGCACCCCATGACCAGGACAAGCAGCATAAAGGGGAGTCCGTGCCCTCTTGGGGGCTGGGAGCAGCTTTGGGCTGGCCCTGTGACTTACTGAACTTCCGCAGTTCGTCCACTGTGATCTCAGAGTCCCCACAGATCCTCTTTTCCATCTGCTGCCAGGTGAGCAGGTCCAGCACAGGCTGGGGCACCACACGGAGCAGCCCAGCACGCATGGCTGCGATCTGGGGGGCACAGGAGGGGCTCTGTGTCACCAGGGCAGGGTCTGAGCCCAGGGAAGCCACCCAGGGCACTGCAGGCAGGGACCACCAGACCCCAGAGGGGATGCAGGGCTCATGGACATCCTGGGCGTGGAACTGCCCAACTGGAGCTAGTTTTGGGGACACATTTTCATGACGTGAACCCCACAAGTCCTAGGATGGCTTGCCACAGGAGCAGGGTCCCCTTGGAGCCGTGCCAGCCCTGGGGGACGGTGTCACCTGCTCCTTGCTCTCCTCCAGCCGCGCCTTCTGCACCAGGCGGATGAACTCCCTGCGGTCCTCGTAGCGCACCACGGTGTTGCTGCCATTGGGGATCAGCTCCACCGCGCGCTGGTCGCTCAGCACTGTCGTGTAGGTCAGCTCCCTGCCAAACATAAACTCGAAGGCTTCCCTGTCCACCTGCTCCAGCACCTCCAGCAGCTTCACCTGCAAGCCAAATGGGCAGCAGCCACCACAGTGGAGCCAGAGCAGCCTCAGGAGCACCAGGCACTGCCCTGCCAGCCCCCAGCCCTGCTCACCAGCTCTGAGTCCACGGTTGCAAAGTCCTTGCTCCAGCTGACCTCCTCTGCTGCCAGCTGCTTCCACACCAGCGCCGGCAAAGACAGGATCTGCCAAAGGGAGCAGACACTGTGTGTCCTCCCCCTGCCCCTCCTTCACCCACAGGCAGTGGGTGAGACACAGCAGCCCCTACCAAGCCCCCTCACTAGCCAGGAAGGCTCTGCTGTGCTCACCAGAAACTCCTTGCTCCTCAGGGCTGCTCCCATCAGCTGCCCGATCCACTCGTACTTGGGGAAGTCCTTGCAGGAGGGGTTGGGGACATACATGTCCCTGGTGTCACTGCTGCTGTTACCCTGTGGGAGAGAGGCTCAGGACCCACAGACAAGAGATTTGACCAGCCCAGCACAGCTTCTCCTGCAGCCTCCCCCTCCATCACTGCTCTGCCTGCCTCTCCTGCCCTTTACACCCCTCCAGGAGACCTCCACCACCCGGGCACAAGCACAGCTTCCCCCACCCAACAGATTGAAAGCATTAAGGTAAGATTAACCACCCAAAAATCCCCAGGCTCTGCTGGCTGCCCTCCCCCCGGCCTGGACAGGCAAACAGTGGGATGTCAAACCTGGTTTGAGGTGCGCACGAAGAAGGGCAGGGGCACAGGGACATCTCCTGAGCTGGGACACAGCTCCTCTGACACATCTGACAGGCTGTCCCGAAAGCCACCACCTGCAGTGGGGGCAGAGGCTGGTTACTGCCTGACACACCAAGGGCAGACACTGAGCCACAGCATCTGCCCAGCTACTCCCCTCCCTGGGGAAGGGGAAGCACTGGTGGGGTAGGGGAGATGCTGGGACCACCCAAAGTGTGCAGAGCAGGGCTTGTCTCTCACAGAGCAACTGGGGCAGTGTGGGCACCCACTGATCTGCCCAGAAGAGAGCCCTGGGGCAGGAGGGAAGAGCTCTCACCATTGTCAATGATGCCCTCACCGATGAAATCACACTCCCACCACTGGGTGTAGGTCAGGGGCCACCTGTGGGGAAGCAACAGCCCCATGCACATCCCTCCTCCGAGAGCATCAGCAGCACTTGGCATCCCCTCGCACCCTGCTCTGGGGAGGTGACACTCCACAAATATGATGCTGAACACCTACCTGTAGTCCAGGGGCTGATTGTTCTTGGAAGATCTGAGGCCTTCGTACAGCTGGAAAGTAGCAGAGCGGAAAGAGGATGAGACACAGCGGGGGCAAGTGATGCTGAACTGGCAGGAGCCTGGCACTGGGCATGGCATTGCCATACCTGGGTGAAAACGGCGTTCCTGCAGCTGGGGTCCAGCGCAGGGTTGGCACGGTGCTCCCGGGCCAGGAGCCGGTTGATGTAGAGCTTTGGCGTGCTGTGGGGAGCAGTGCTCTCCGAGGACTGGAGACAGTGGGCAATGAGGGCTGAGCTCTGCTTGGACAGCAGCAGGAATGGCTTCATGCTCTAACAAGGCACAGGCAGGGGTGGTTAGAGAGCTGATCCTGCCACCATGTGCCCTCTTTTCCTCTCTGCAAGCACAGCCCTTGGTGTCACAGGGCATTCTCCTCCACCCCTCTAGCAATGCCCAGCACGGCAGCTCTCAGCCCTGGGCTGGTCTGTCCCCACTGGATCAAGGAGGACACACCACAGCCCCCAGAAAACCATCTGAGCTCATGAGGAAACACCAATACTGGCAACATCCCAGGGGAGCCCAGAAAATGCTCACCCTGAGTGCATTAAAGGTACCAATGCTGTCCTCGGAGAGGGGGATCAGGTAACACAGGACACTTTCCAGGAGCTGGACAAACCTGGAGACAGGAGAGAAGCATCACAAGGCTGTGGGAGGGTGGCATTTCACCACAGACAGCCCCAGCCCCTGGGCACTGTGCTCTCTGCACAGGGGTCTCCTCCAGCCCATGGAGGGACACCAGACACCAAGGGGAGCGCCCAACCAGCACCCTCTGGCCAAGCACTTTTTCCATAACCCCCAAGAAAACGCTGTAAATGAGGGCAGCCCAGCACACACCGCAGCACTGCAGCTGAATTGCTGCAGAGGGTCTCTCTGTGGGGACAGTGCTGACCCCAGCCCAGGGCTGCCCTGGAGGCCAGGGCATGGTTCTTCATTGGACTGGGCTCAAAGCAGGGACGGTGACGCCCCCATGCCATACCTCTGAATGAGCACAGCCCGCCGGTACAGCACGTCGGCGTCCACCCCTTCCAGGAGAGGGTAGCGAACCAGCCGGGCTGGCTGGAACATGTCAGCGTTGAGGATCAAGTCCCACTCCCAGAAGGATGTGATCTTGATCCCTTGCAGACGGACATTGTACCCTTGGTCTGCCGAGAAGGAACAGCGACGCTGAGTGCGCTGCTGC